GTTATGTATCGCTTTATACAATTACAATTACTCTTATTTTTTGTAGTTTCTCATTTTTTTTTGTGTATCGATCATGCTATTTTATAAAGTGCCAATGTTTCTTGAAACATGGTTTGGTAGATGAGCATCTACCTCTTTGATCTTTTGTTTGTTTACATACGGGTACGGGCATTGACTGTTTATGCCACATTCTTTTTGTTAATTGCGAGATTTGATTAAGAAAATAATTGATCTCTCTTCACTATGTACATGGCATGCAAAATGCTTTTTGTTGTGTTATCTGTTATGGTATTTTGCTCTTTCCGTGCTACTTATTCATTTACAATCTTCTATTAATCACATTTCTCATTGCAGGACCTATCAATGCTGAACAGAGATCCCGCAAAGGTGCTATACATTAGTGGCCATGCTCTAGAAAGTAGTCTTCAGTCCGAGAATTGTGTTCCAATAAAAGCATGGCAAGGGGAAGCAGATGACACTGCACTTCTTGATCTTATTCCATTCCTGGAATGTAAGCATTCAATATGTATTTCAATGCTTGGAACTCACAGATTCACTTCATGAATACAGAGTAATGTTTTGCAAAGTTTCTAGTTAAATACGTCAAGGCATTTTTCATTTCAGATGTTGCCAAACACCGGCCATCCGATATTCGAACTGTTCTAGCTTCTTATCAAGGCCGTGATATAGCAAAAGAGTTCATTGAACGGTCAAAAGAGCATCAGAGGTTTTTTACTTTTCTAGATCTATCTGCTTGGTACTATTATTCCTGTTTTAGAAATGTCGATTTTCACCTCTCTCTATGGCTGTCACTCTCTGTGTGTGTCTTATTTTGACCTGGACTCCTGGAGTACTTGTTAAAGAAAGACACGAAACTTTCATAGTACACAGGAGAATTGACAAGATCTTTGAGGCTTACATCCTCTTAAGAAAAGACATTCTTCCACGTGCATTTTTCCTCGGTGAATTAATAAAAACTTTGTTATATTCCTATTGATTGCTCTTATTCCAACACAAAATTTTCATCGTGCACAGGAGAATGCTGGAGCAAAAGCAACAAGGCCGTCTCTGGAGACGTTAGGAGTATCAAGTGTACAAGTTGTTATAAATGACATGCAGTCATTTTCAATTCTCTATGTTTTCCATCAGTAATGAAGCATTTTTCCTTCAATTAGCCATGTTCCTAGGATAACTTGCAGCTGGACGAGATGGTATTAAATTTTGGCAGTGAGAGTGAGAGCAAAATGATTGGTCTGTTATTCGGTGAACTGATGTCTATCCTGTCCTTGGTTTGCATGGTTTATGTGGAGTTTTCGTGGGGAATTTTTGCAATTTGGTAGACGGTTATTTTCTTTTTAACGGAAATTAAGCTTTGTTGACAAGGTGCTTCTTTGTTAATAATTCTCCAGATTTGGAGATATGCTGATGATGTCTACGTTTCGTACTGTGTCTCTTTAAGGACCCCAAGTCCCCACATACTATAGGCTGAATGGGGTTTTGCTTCGTAGTTTGTTCAGTGACTGATCACTGTTTTCCGTGAATACATGGGGGAATAGGTTGAGAATTTTTTCTGTTGAAGTTGAATCTGATTTTCCAATGACCTCGTCTTGATTAATAGGAACATCGTGATTCTGTGCACATGAGTTATGGTGTCTTGTTGATCGGGATCCAATTGATCTCTTGTAATCCTGCCTCTACCATTGTGCACAAGTTTTTTGTGTTGTGTTTTGCAGAAAGACAAAATTAAAGAAAGGATAGGGTAATTAATGGGTGTGGTGATGTATGTTTTTTGAAATCCTTATAGTATCCATAATGCTATGGTTCAATTTTGCTTAATTGTCATAGTAATAGAGTTAATAGTGAATGATTTGGAGAAATTTAAGAACAAATAAGCTATACTTGATATGCTATGTTGTTTTACTTGTGTTTAAAATTATGTGTGAAATGAAATAATAGTAAAACCAACACCCACTCCTCAAGCTGGACTTGGGGATAAGGAATCAACGAAAGCGAGGTCCATGAAGCAATTTGTTGAAGATGTCAGTGAGCAGGAAGTTGGTCGAAACATGACGAAGAGAAATAAAGCCTTTCCTTTGTATTTATCTCACATAATGTGGCAATCAATATCAAGATGTTTGGTCCTCTCGTGAAAGACAGATTTGGTAGACATGTGTATGACTTGATTGTCACAGTGAAGAGAGATGGATAAAGTTGGAGCAATCTTGAATCATGTGCAGTTGTAAGAGCCATTGAAGCTCATGAACAGTGTTGTTGAGATCTCGATACTCAGCCTCCAGCAGTGGATTTAGAAACAGTACACTGCCTTTTACTTTTCCAAGAGATTGATGAAGTCCCTAAGAAAATGCAGTAGTCTACATGTGACATACCTTCTAGTATCGTTGCATGATGTCCAGTCAACATCTCTATAAGCTTGAAGAGCAAAATGAACTGGAAGATTAAAAAGCCCCAGACTGAAAGATCTTGTTAAGGTATTTTAAAACGTGTAGTACAATATCCCAATGATTAGACCTAGGTCTTATATTGTCAGGATTCTCAAAAAATATTTTGGGTTGGCGTGAGTGAAAGAACTTGTGGCAACGAAGTCGCAACAACTTTGCAAGAATCTTATGTGAGTTGTAAACTCGTGCTTCCGTCGAACAACACCAAACACACATGCTCTTAAACTAGGTGTCATTGCAGTGACTCATAATGAGTTTTAAGGAACTGTCTTATTAGGATTCTCATTTTGAAGACACATGACAATCTTTTGTGCATACATCCATAAAATAGTCTTACTTGAAACTAATCCTATGATTCTTGGGAGTTTGGCAGACCCAAAGACTTTCAAACTTAATCAAATATGAGAGTTTTTGCTTGAATAAAGTAATCGAGAAGGGCCAATGATTTGAGCTAAAAAATAAATTATTTTTTTTTTTAAAATAATAAAAAAAGGGCCTATGATTTGAGCTAAGCCAAAGAATTAAGGGGGTGATTGTTTATAGTTTGAATAGTAAAAAAACTAGAATTTTTTAATTATGGTTAAGTTTAAGAAAAAGTTGTATGGTTAGTTGTTAGTGGATATATTAAAATAGTATTTAAAATAAAATAGTTAAAGTTGATTTGATGTAAAGTATGAGAAAAATGATTGGAAGTGATAGTTAGTTAAAATTAGTTAGAATTATGTGAGTGGATGAATAGTGAATTAAAGTTGATGTGATATGTAATAATGATTTGTTGATGTTATTTAATTATATAATAATATTGGAGATAGTGGGGTTGAGTTAAAGTTGAGTTAAATTTGAATTTGAGTAAAAGAAATTACTGTAGGGATGATAAACAATCATGCCCTAAGTGCTCAGTAGGACTTTGTTTCAAGGAAAAATATTGATTGATCAAGTAAGGAAATTCTACAGTCCCGTCACGGAACCATTTTGTCTGAGTTTATAACCGTTAGATCAACTATCCACGACGGTTACATAATGATCTAACAGTTACAAATCTCGATGGAATGATTTCGTAACGGGACTGTAGCATTTCCCGATAAAGTAATCAAAGTCCAATAATTATTAGACATATGGTTAGCGCTCAAACACAATAAGAAAATATCGAGTTGTCCACAAAGACTTATAAATTCGGGAAATGCTACGGTCCCGTT